ATTTTGTTACTGATCTTTGGCATTTTTGTATATTCTGACTCTGACCTATAGCTTTGTTCACAATCTGTGTTTTGTAATTTTGTAACAGCCAATGGCTAATTACAATAAACTAAACTGAACAGGTGGAAGGGCAGGATTGTGAGAAAGAGGCTGGTGGCAGTGGACCCCATCAGAAGCCCTGGGCCCTGGCAGCTGCCCCACCTCAAGTTATGCTGACACCAGCCCGTAAGTCTAGAGCACCTTACAAAGTGCTGTCTCCAAAACATTTGGTGCTTCTTCCCTCAGACACAAACAGATTTCACACGTGCCTTTAAGAGCTTTAAAAGCTCTCCTACACTTGAAATGCCTGCATTAGTCTTTTACTCATTTTTAAATGTGTTCACATAATTTTTTCTTTAAATAAACTGACAGTTGTATTTCAGCCTTCCTGTGATGTGTGTGTCCCATGTGAATGAAAATATTCTGTGTAACAAATTTTTGTCCTCCACCCCTGTGTCCCCCCCATTAAGTTACACACATTTGGGAATTACTCATTTCATCCACCTCACCCTCCTCTCTGTGGTCACAGAAAAGCAGGGGGAAGAAAAGGTGCGGTTAAGTAAGGTGCAGTTAAATGTACTCTTTTCTGACTTCAGTGAAAACAGGAAAAGGAGGCAAAGTACAACAGGGACAAAAAGATCCAAGCAGAACAAGTAACCTCTTCCCCCCGCTGCAGATTTTTTTCCAAAGCACAACCATGTAGTTGGAAACCTACTCACTGTATGTTCCATTCTTTCCTACCATTTCTCTTCCATATTTCTAATCCCTCCCCCAAACCAATATTAGTGATGACATTTTGAAAAATTCTTGCTTTATACTTCAGAAAGGCAGGGTTACCCACCATATCATGGGATTGTTTAGTTACTACTCTTTGGGTTGGACTGCTGTTGAAAATTCAGCTGATAAAAGCAGGAGAAGATCTGTGTCAGTTCCCCCCCCCTCCTGCCACTTGGAATTCTTTGCAGTAGAAAGATAGGGTATAAATGTTTTCAATAAATAAAAGTACATTCAGTCAGAATTCAATTCCATATGCCAGATGTTGTTCTCTAGAGATCTTTGCCAGATAATCTGGCAAGCTTCAGAAACTGCAACTTTTCTAGGACTATGTAAGTATGTCTTCATAAAATTAACTACAGGCACATGAACAGTCCCTAATTTCCTAAAAGACTTAACATATGGAAACCTTTGAGATGGAGGAATTATTTGCAGGAACAGGAATTGTAATGCTCTGCCTCTTATGTGGGTGGATTTCCCTCATCCTGTTTGATTGCAACATTGACCAGCGCTCAAATAAAAGCAAAAGATTTTTTTTCATTTTACACTTGTGGGATGAAAGGAAGTGTGAACACAATGTCTTCCAAGCGAACAAATGGCCTGTATTCTACATTCTCCCCTGGAATTTTTTAAACCATTTTAAGAGAAGCAAACTGTAAAGAGAATACAGCAATTTTCTCTGAAGGCTTATCCACATATTTCTCTTATATAGGTCAGGTGCAAATGTCATGCTACTGACCTCTTTAGTATAGTTAAGAAACCAAAAACATATTGTGAGCTCACCTAATTCTCTCTAGCATGAATTCCATCCTCTTTCCCTAGTAGCATTAACAATGCTGTAGAGTTGCTTCTTCACACGATTAACTTTATTTGAATTCCCTCTTCAATAAGATTCTCAAATCCACTTCAGTCCCCAATTTTAAAATATATTCACAAAGTGAAGGCTGGTTTGGACTCATAAAGAATTCTGTCCATATGAATACGGAATTTTCAATAACAAACACAGAAAAATAAAAAAGGCAGCATCACATCCAAATGAATAAACAAAGGAGAAGAATCTTCAAGCATTATCTATCTGGTAAAAGACAACGCAGGATACAATACAATTAAGGAGAAAATGTTCTTTGAATTTCACAATATAATTAATGGGAAAGAGCTTTAAGAGTTTTTTTCTCAAGAAAAACTTTAATTTCTAATAATGAAAACTAAAAGTTACTTCCTTTCACTTTAAGAACATAAGAGACGCCAATGTTGGATCAGGCCAAAGGCCCATCCAGTCCAACACTCTGTATCACACAGTGGCCAGAAATACCAGGTGCCATCAGGAGGTCCACCAGTGGGGCCAGGACTAGAAGCCCTCCCACTGTTGACCCCCCCCCCCAAGCACCAAGAAGACAGAGCATCACTTGCCCCAGAGTCCCTATCCATACCTTGTGGCTAATAGCCACTGATGGACCTCTGCTCCATATGCTTATCTAATTCCCTTTTGAAGCCGTCCATGCTTGTAGCTGCCACCACTCCCTGTGGCAGTGAATTCTTTGTGTTAATCACTCTTTGGGTGAAAAAGTACTTCCTTTTATCCGTTCTAACCCGACCGCTCACTTTAGAACAGACTGAAATAAATTCAGATCCAATGAGCTACCAATTTGGTGCATGCATACAGATGTATACACACACACACACACACACACACACACAATGATTAATATAGTTTTTGGCTTCTTAGTACTAGCTCTTAAGGGGTGCTGGGATCAGATTTCATCATGGCTGTACATTCTTGTTGTCAATGCCATCCCTCTTCAGCAGGCCAGCATGCATTTTTCCTAAACCAGAATGAGATCCTTTCATCTTAGAATTTTATACATCAAAACTACGCACTTTAATACTTTTAATTCAGGAGATATTTTAAACAGATGTTCCACTACTCTGTTGAGAAGCACAGAAAAGGGAAATATGTGCCTACAAAGGGGAATAAAGAGTTGCAGAGCAGAGTGGGGGAGGTAAGAAGGCAACAAAGGAGTATTTGCTGCTCTCTCTCTTGCCCTCCACATTTGCCATTCTTGCTACTCTTCTATTTCAACACAACTAGAGTTGTCAGCTCTGGGTTGGGAAATACCTTGTGATTCTGGGGGTGGAGCCTGAGGAGGATGGGGTGGGACTTCAATGAGGGATAATGCCACAGAGTCTACCATCCAAAGCTGCCATTTTCCTCTGGGTGAACTGATATCTGTCACCTGGAGATCAGTTGTAATCCCAGAAGATCTCTGGCCCCCACCTGGAGGTTGGCAACCCTAGACACATACCCTTCCTGCCCCCTCCTCTTTCCCCACTTTCAACACATCTTCTACTTCTTGCCCTCTTCCATCCGTTGTTCATCTTCTGATCCCCCACTCAACATCTCTTTTGAGTACTTGGTTTTACTACCTCACACTCCCCTTGCCCTGCCGAAGTTGTATTACTATCCATTTTTTTCTTTCAGAAAGGGAGAATTTACAAATACCAATCAATGTCTGAACAAGTATGTGCATATCTTGATGCTCACCCAGGCAACACGCAGATGCAGAATCAATTAACTTATTACCAACCACACAGCGTGCATAAACAAAATACCAATAGCAAATGCCTGAAGCAACTACCTTTCACAGTTTGCAACCATCCACCATAAGATACATTGTATACACAAAACAAGTAATTAAAGATGCATATATTAAAGCATGCTTGAATTTTTAATAGGGAAGGATTACTGACAAACTTCTTTTGCAAATGAATGCTTTTTACTCTATGGGACTGAAGAGTTAACTTTGTCATATTATGCACCCGGTAAAGAACTCTTATTAAGCAGACAAAAAAATACATGAAAAACTAAACAGATGTACCATGTTCTGAAATAATAATCGGCATTACCCAAGAGTCACTGCTAAATAATAATAATACAGTATTTTGGCAAATATCATACTAAGTAAATATTCTGGATTATCTCTATGAATATTTGTAGATCATACTAGAATAATAACATTCTACATTTTTAGATTCCTTCCTCCTTCTATCATTATATTTCAAAAAGGAAGAGAAACTTCTTTATGATCTAGAGCTGGCATAAGGGGGTTACTTAACAAAAGTTAGATAAATAAGAAGCCAGGATTACAATACACATGATGATCTACTAGGATTATATTATGCCTTGCCAGTTAATAAAAATGTGAACAGCCTGGAGCGTGTGAATTTCTTGGAAATCCCAAGGGTTTTTCTTTTTTTGGTTTTTAAATGCATTGGAGATAATTTCAAGAGTCGGTCAATGAAGCTAGCCGATGTATTTAGGTGAAGACGCTCCAATTGTTTTAGAAAGGGTAATTTTTGCTAAAATATAATCTACCATCCCTGAACAAGAGATGCTTGAGTTGGTATTGTATGACAGGCGGCATAAGGCAGAGTTGACTAAAGTCGAGCTCTTGACAAGTGCTTTATAAAATATTGACGCCCAAAAGGCAGAACAGTATTTTAAAAGTTAGAGATTCAGGATATATTAGGAACACTATGCCACAAAAGCATTCAGCAGTTCACCAATGGCAATGATGTCTATCATTTTGGCCACTGCCTGGTAAGTCAAAGGAATTTTCTGTGCCCTTAAGAGTTTTGCAGCATAAGACTTGCAACTGATTTTTTCTTTCATTTTCAGCTCAGGCTTTCAAAAGCAGCTGCCTTTGGCTGTCCTTTCTGCTTCCCTTTCTTGCTGACATCTCCTCAGCCAGAAGGAGAGAGAGTGAAAACGCACACACATACACAGCACCTCTAGAAATTCATTTTTTGCTCCTGCTTTTGTCCATGTAGCAGGAAGTAATAGAGATATCATTCTTTTTTTTTAAAACCAACGACCTTAAATCAGATTTGTGACTGATTTCCAAAAGAATCTTTTCCAAACACAACCAAGGAATTGCAATGATGTTTAATGTTCTGATCATCCACACATCACAAGCTAAAGCCTAGAAGCGAGCACTTTCATTTGCAACACAAGTAACGCAACAGCAAGAAAATCAGCATGAGAACAGCCGAACCATAAAAATGATAGAATGTGACTGACAGCAAAATTGTTGGTTGACAAACACCACTGGTTTGGGAGGTGTGTCGCTAACCAAGCAGTGAGTTATGTTTCAGACTCAAGACTGGAGAAAGGTGTTTTTTAAAACTACCTGGAGATTTTTTGCTTGCTCTAGATTGCATCAAGTAAGCATGACGAGGCAGCAAAGGTGATGATGGCAAAGACATAGAGACCCCTTTGGTTAAATTCATTCTGTAGGCATCTTCAGATAGAGGCTGTACACCACCAGGAATGTCTGCATTGTGGCCAGATGTAGAAATTATCTGTAGTGCACTTTCTGAACATGAGTCACCTATTAGAAAGAAAGAAAAAAAAGATACAATATGAATAAACTGCAAATCCCTGCAAAAATAACCAACACTTTGCACTAGGCACATCTAGGCCATCTCCTCAGGTGCCAGAAATGAAGATGTGCGAACCAGCCCTGTTACCACAAGGTGTTGCCAGCTCCAGGTCTGGAAATACTTTGAGATTTTGAGAGTGGAGCCTGAGGCAGGCAGGGTTTGGGGAGGGAGGGACTTCAGTGAGGTATAATGCCACAGAGTCCACCTTCCAAAGTGACCATTTTCTCCAGGTGAACTGTTCTGTCGCCTGGAGATCAGCTGGAGATCTCCAGCCCCACCTGGAGATTGGCAGCCATAGTTACCACACTATCCTGCCTGTAGCATAAAGGTTTGCAGTAGCCATAGGAGGAGGGGCAGTCTTTGTGATTCTGGGGCCCTGGCCAAAAGGGCGGGGCCCAGAATCACTGCCACCCCTTGCTGGATCCCATGCAGCATCTATCTCCTGCCACTGGGTCCAAGCAACTGGTGCAACTCACCCCATGTGAGGCTGCCTGAGCCCTAGATGGGGCAGGTACAAGTGACTGCTTGCCATCAAGACAGTTGCTCCCCCCTGTCAGGGGGTTGGGCTGTGGACAGCTGCCCTCTTGCCCATTACTTAAGATTGACTGTGCCTAGGAGGTGCATCAGCAGGCCCTCTTCCTCCTTTGTCTCCCACAGTGTGGTGGATGAGGAAGGCAGGTGGTATCTTCCTGTCTCTCCATACCACAGGGAATTGGAGGAGATGAGGAAGGTGTGTTGTGGCTTCCCACCTCCCTGCAATGCAGGGGTACTCTTCCTCCTTTGTCTCCCACAGTGTGGTGGATGAGGAAGGCAGGTGGTATCTTCCTGTCTCTCCATACCACAGGGAATTGGAGGAGATGAGGAAGGTGTGTCGTGACTTCCCACCTCCCTGCAATGCAGGGGTACAGCCTCCCCGCCTTAGCCTAGGGCTCCCCAAATCTTTGGGCCAGCCCTGTTATGAAAAAGAACCACAAACAAACAGGAAGAATATATGAACAAAACCAATTATAGTTTTACTCAGAAGAAAGTTGCTCTGTACTGAAATCATGTTGTCACACCACATGGTAAGTGCATTATTAACTATATAATGTTTTAGGACCATTCACAGGCTCCAAATCGTGTTTGCGTGAGTCGTATGCCAGACATAGCCTTGAAAAGAAAGGGAATGAGATCCTGCAGGTGACGTGAGGGGAAGTGCTAAAAAGACACTTCTACGTACATAACAGGAACACTACTCCTGCCTTTGAAACACCCGTACTTCACACTACTTCTGCCTTTGAAGCACCCATACTTCATACTATTCACCTTGGCTTTAGCCATTTCTCCAACTTCAGACAGAGGTACAAACAGCTGGACACTAAACGAGTTTTTGTTGCTGCAGTGCACCTATGCATGTGGTAAGCATATTCTCTTTAAAACTGGTCCAGTTTTTAAAAGAGAAAGATCACTATTGCACACATAGACACACAAATTGCTCAACTGTGATTAAGCAAATGGGAGTAATCCAAGAGATCATACACACCCACTCCTCAGTGTTTCCCATCTGGAGTACAAATCCCCCTATTTTTCCCAAACCAGCCTTACCCAGAAATTAAATGTGGTTAAAACCAATCATATTTCTCTTCTTAATCAGGATTTGAGAACAGAGTTTGAAGCTGATCATAAAGTAGAATCATGGTGAAGCAAATCCTGGTTGTCCCTTACAGAAAGTTAAAGGAGGAAATAGATATCTAAGTAATTCTCTAAAAATGGGCTTATAATCTTACTTTCCCTACTACTGCTATTGAACCAGACTGACTTTACATCTCCAGGATTGTGGTTAAGAATGATTCTTATCTTCTGCCTATATAGGTCCAACAATGCTAACTATAACCACTGCAGTAAATAAATTTCATAATGTCTTGCAAAGTTTCTCCACATCATTACTTTGCTGTTTATAAAAAGCAATGGAAGGAAGACAACTATCTTATTATGATCTTACTAATGAAGAACAGTTATGCAATGGTCAATGATGCCCATAAATAAATACCTTTGGTCAAAATAAATGGTATGGCTTTGTGAGATGTATTTTTATAAAGTATTACACCACTGTACTAACTACTATTGGTAACAGCTTAAAGCATGACCTGTGAATTGAGGCTCTGGTTCAGATCTCAGCTCAACAATGAACAGATTGGAGCAACCCACTATTTCGTGGCTTTACAATACCATCCACAATATGGGGCTACTGTGCTATACAAGCAATGCATGAAGACCACTGAACATATATTTAAACTGTTATGTTAAAATGAAGAGTTATTATAAAAGTACTGCTAAATTTGCATGGAATACAATTATATTCTTAAAACAAGCAGAAGCTCACTCAGTTAAAAGGGACTGAAACAGACAATCTCTTTCCGAATTAGCAATTCTTATCTAGAATGTTTACTTCCTTTTATATAAATACAGTCGACCGCACCCATTTTTTTCAGTCCTTGGTTACCTGCCAGGGGCTTTCCTGAAACAAATGTTTCCACATATCTGGGTCCTACTGAGCTGTCAGGAGATTGTCAGGAGTAAAGGAATCTAAATATGCTCCTTTCTTGCACTACCATTCTCAAAGTGGAAGTCTAGGTGAATACAGTCTTGCAAGATGGGGTTTTATAGAAGTCTCCTTTCTATTAGCCTCGCCTATTCCCACACACAGTTCTTTCCCAACTTTTGTTTTGTCTCCTTTTAAACGCCCAGTCCTAACACATAACATAAATGATAAACCCTATTACATGCTGCACAAAGGCTTGTCAGCTCTGGTAGCAACATAACATAAGGCAATTAGGACAGGTAAAAAACTGTCCATCTTAGGCTCTCCAGTATCTGGTAGTTTATTGTGCTAATAATGCAGAATTTTTTAAAAGTAGTTATCTGTGAATAAAAGCTACAACAATCATAATTTGTGTAAGTTATGACAAAAAGGAAGGGGAAAATCTGTATTTCAACTTCTTACATTCATTAGAATGGAAAGTGAACCACACAGAAAGAAAACAAATATTTTATTATAAATCTAATTTTAACTGAAATACTACTTCTGAAGAAACCTAATGGAGAGGCTTGATCACAGGATAGTTGCTTCACACATGCAAAATAAAATGGACCTAACTACAATTTGGTAGAAATTGTGATGTCTCAAAAGTGAAGTCAGTACAGTTTCTTTGCCCCAGATCCTACGCTTCAATCAAGATGGCCATTGCTATACTTCTCTCTGCACTATGCAATGTCACTGTGAGCCAGTTACAGTGATCCGGCAGCCATCCATCAGCAATCCCATCACTTAAGGTGGCCTGTCCAGCATCAACCAGAGTCTAGCCTCTTCCATGATGGCTCCAGCTCTGTGGAATGGGCTCCCTGAAGGGGTGAGGGATCCCCCTCCTTGGAGACCTTCAGGAGGTGCTGCAAGGCCTGCCTCTTTGCCCAGGGCTTTTGAGGGGGGCTGAATGGCACGTACCTTTTAATGAGGAGGGGGGGAGATCTGGGGTTTTCTATTTCATTTTTGGTTTTAACTGACAATGTTTTTAACTATTATTGCAAGACACCCTGAACCATAAGGAAAGGCAGGATATAAATGATGTGATAAATAAATACATTGTAATAAATAAATAAATAAATCAGTAATGGCATAAGAATACAAGAATTACTTTGCTGGGTCAGTTAAAGTTCTGGTTGTGTTCAAAAACTAGTGAGCTAGGTACTATTAAAAGGAAGGCCTCCAGTGAGGAATGACAAACTAGATTGGGTCCACAGTACTGGAGGAAAGAAGGCTCAATTTTTCCTCTCAGGACATCTCTCCCATTAAAATCACTTCCATGAAGCTACGGGGGGGGGGGGGGGTGGCGGACAGGCACGATAGGGACAGCTGTGTTTTCTTTACAATGTGACTCTTGGTTTAGGAGACAGCTTAAGAACATAAGAAGAGTTCTACTGGATCAAACCAGTGGTCCATCTAGTCAAACATCCTGTCTCTCACAGTGGCCAACCAGTTCCTCTGGATGGCCAACAAAAGGACTGAGGCCTTCCCCTAATGTTGCCTCCTGGCACCAGTATTGAGAGATTTACAGCCCCCAAATGTGGTGGTACGTTTTCCAGCTCCACAGTGACTTTTTTCCTTTCTCACTGCTGTGGCATATTGGGTTGACAATCTCATTGAGCTATCCACTATGACACCCAGATCTCTTTCCCTCTCAGCCTCAGCATGTTCAGACCCCATTTGCACATAGCCTTACATTTGCCTGTATTGAACTTCATTTGCCAGAATGTTGCCCACTCATCAATTTGTAAAGATATTCCTAGAGCTCTTTACAATTAGTTTTGGATTTCACCAGCCTAAATAATTTTGTGTCATCTACAAACTTAGCCATTACTCTGTTCACCTGCAGTTCTAGATAATTTATGAACAAATTAAATAGCACTGGCTCCCATAACAATCCTTGTGGGACACCACTGCTTCCCTCCCTTAACAGAACTGTCCATATATTCCTGCTTCCTGTCAATTAGCTAATTTTTAACCCATAAAATGACCCATCCTCTTAGCCCAAAACTGCCAAGCTTACTCAGGAGTCTTTGGTTAAGTGCCTTGTCAAAAGCCTTTTGAAAGTCCAAGTATATAATGTCTATCTACATCTTTGCTCACGTTTTCAAAGCACTCCAAAAGGCTGGCAAGGCAGGACTTCCCTTAATGGAGCCATTTTGATTTCTCTCAGCAGGCTATGTTCTTCTATGTGACTATGATTCCCCTCTGGACTGCTTTTTAAAAATCATGTATCTGCAACTCTCCAATACTCTCCAGTCTTTTGGTACAGTGAATGATTTTAGTGACAAGTTTGTAGATCAACAATTTTACATATGAGTTCCCTAAGAACCTTTGTGTGTTTGTTATCACGATCCAGAACTTCTAAAACTAATGGTTTTAATTTCC